TCTGGAATGTTGTCATTAATAGCGCTTTTCAAAGAGATGGCTGACAATAGTAAGCTCAAATGCCAATTTTAATTAACTTCCACATGCAGCACATTTTGCAGGTTATACTGTACATGTGAAAATTTTGAGCTTTCAGGTTCCTATGCCAAACAAAATATGTGCAGCTTTCTTTCAAAGAATTTCAGGGTCTGAGTAAAATACTGTGATTAACAGATGGCCTGCAAAAATGCATGTATTATATTATAAAGTTTCTGTGCTTAAAGTGGTTACAAGATAATGTTAATATAAAATGTGTAAATGCTTTCTTTATTTCAGTTTTGAGGAGTTATTTTCATTGCAACTGTTTGCTCACTGAGATTGTCTACATATAAGATGCTGTGCCGCTGTAGTGCTTCAGTGTAGATGCTGCCTACATCAACAGGAGGGATTCTTCCGTCGGCATAGGTAATCCTAAAAGGCGTTAGCTAGTTTGATGGAAGAATTCTTCCATGGATCACTGACCTAATACCGTCTACACAGGGACTTGGGTTATGTCTACTCTACCACTTATGTTGGTATAATTTAGGTCGCTCAGGGATGTGAATAAGCCTAATCCCCAGTATGGACAGTGCTATGTCATGAGAGAGCTTCCCCTGCCAACATAGCTACTGCTGGTCGTTGTGGGAGGATTAATTAAGTGGATGGGAAAGTGCTCTCTCATTGGCTTAGAGCAGCTACTCTAGAAAGCTTACAGCGGCGCAGCTGCATCGGTGCAGCTGCATCATGGTAAGCTTTCTAGTGTAGCCATAGCTTAGGTCGGCTTATCTGCACCTGAGAGACGTAGCAATGCCAGTGTCACTTTTCAGTGTAGATCAGCCTTGAGTTACTCCACTTAAGTCTGGTCTACACTAGAAAATTAAGTTGGCATAACTACGTCGTACAGGGTGTGGAGATGGATTACCTACACCAATGGGAAAATCACTCCTGTCGCTGTAGACACTACCTACGCCGAAGCGCTATCGCTGTGGCCATGCCGCTGTGGCATTTTAAGGCTAGACAAGTCCTTAGTGAGAGGGATCACACTGAAACATCTCAACTGCAGAGTAATTGAATTAGCAGATGATGACTTTGTTGTAATTTGGTCTGTTGCATCACTACTACATTACTTCAGAGTCACCAGCACTTGAGCTTCAGCACTGACTCCCTCTACGGGCCATCTAGCTTGAGTTTAAAGCACCATTTAACTCAAGCTACAGATTTTTGTGCGTGGAGGGGATTGGGTTAGTTGCAGAACTTGAGTGAAGACAAGTCCTAAGCTCCAGATCCTCAATTGGTATGGATTGGCATAGTTCTGACTTCACTGGAGCTACATCAGTCTACGCCAGCTGAGGGGCTGGCTCTGAACATAAAATAGATTAATGCATTTTTCTTTTTACAACAGAGTCATAGCACAGGCTGTGCTGTCTTTAAAAATATAAATTGCCTGTCTCTTGTTCTGAAAAAGTTTGCCTGCTAATGATTGTGAAATGGTTGAAAATCCTTGTTGCATTCGGAGATTTCTAATGTCAGCTGGCCAGAACGATCTCTGTGTAGATTCAAATTGGCATTTTTGGTTCTGTTCATAGAATTCCCAAAATGCTGCAGAATAAAACTAATAGGATTACAGACCATTTCACTGTTGCCATTCTCAAGCCTTTTGAGTTGTGAAATTGTCTGGTTGTTTATCAGTTGTAATGCTTCATGCGCTTGGGAAAACTGAGCCGATGTCATTCACAGGGAAATGGAGTAGGGAAGAAGGTGGTTCTCCATAGCAGCCAAGAGGCTTTGTAATGGGGAAAGAAGACAGATCTCCCTGTCCTGTCCTGTCCTTTTCTCTTGGGGTGGGTTGGTGTGGATCTTCAAGTACATAAGACTTACACTAGCCAAAGGATATGAAAAGCCTAAGTAGGGTCCAGAGACAGCATTCTACCCACTTCCCATCAGCTGGTCATAATGGAGGGGAAGTTGGGGAGAGGGTGTTTTGCCAAGGTGTTTTTCTGCATAGGGACCCCACCTTGTTTTCATAGTAGTTGTCAAATATTAGTCAATTACTGCCATTGCTGGGGGCTGCTGGATGGGCAAAAAACTGTCTGGCCAGTGTTTTCTCCCTTTTGACCATGAGCTGGGAAACAAAGTCATTGGTGTGATTGAGCAGCAGCTGACATCCCTTTTCCTAGGAAGCAGGCTGGGAGAAAGAAGGGGAGCTATGTAGACAGCCATTGTTGGGTATGTGGGCAAAGAGGAACCTGCTAAGATTGGGAGGAGGATGTATTATGTTGATTTTTGGGGATGGATGGTGACAGAGTGAAATATTGTATATATGTTGACATAGGTATTTTTCGTGAAGGCTAGCAAATTTAGTCCTCAGGCTACTGGGTGTTAGGAAAATTTTTCAGTCCCTGGGAATAATTATTCCTGGAGTAGAGAGACAAGGTTTGTATTCAGTGTTTCACAAAATATTTGCATTCAAGTAGATCATTGACCAAGTTGGTAGGGTTATAAGTATCTGAATCATTTGGCTAGTATCTCTATAACAAAGGCACATATCAAATTTTTAAGATTAACCTATGTGAAAAATACATAGAGTGAGCAGCGAAACTTCTTTAGATTCTACATATAGCTTGGTATTGGGGCATGGAGACTAGGCCATTTGTGAAACTCTGTAAGGGGGGGAAGAAATGAAACACAGAAGTACAATATTCTGTATTATATCTTCTGTGGCAGCAGTCAATTATTTTAGTAGTATTTAATATTTATAGCACTGTAGTGCCCAGAGGCTCTGATCAGAATGAGGGACCTTTTGTGCTGGATGCTGTAGAAACAAATGTAGACAGTGTCCTGGTTCTCAGTTACCTTCTGATATTGATGCACAAACAAAGGGAAATAACTTGAAGTCATAGTAGAACCAAGGTACCTGCATTGAGAGCTATTTTTGTGGCTGTGCTGTGAGAATAGGCATTGTCTAATTAAAGGCTGTTATCTTTTGGCATATGTTCACATGAAAGATTAGAGTTCAGAATCTCAGATTCGTTTCTCTTGCAACAGTTGACATTTCTCATTTCTTAAACAATGCTTTTAACTGTATTCCTTGAACTAATTTAGGTTTTTGTGATGTCCTCTGCTGTTCCAGGAGAAAAGCAGAACCCTGAGGGCTGAGTTCTTAGCAAGTTATTAATTCTAAATCTGTTCTAAAATGTCTGTCTGTGTTAATATTTTAAAACAGCAATCTGCTGGTTTGGTATCCTAAATATTTTTAGTGTCAAATTTTCATGTCCAGTTGTCTGAAAGTTGAACAAAGTGAGGACTGATTAAAAAGGGAGAGTGAAGAGTACTGGCAGTCCTCGACTTTACAACATTCAAGTTACGACGAATGGCACTTGCGACGTTTGTAAATTGACATCCTGTTTCGACTTTCCGATGTCAGTTTTGACTTTGACATCAGTTTTGACTTTGCGCCGCTCGATCAGATATTGTTCCTATGGAAAAATCAAGTTACGATGTTTCGACTTAAGATGCGATTTTCAGGAACCAGATGTGTCCGACTGCCTGTATTCAAACTTGTAGGAATATTAAGGTTTTTTATAAAATGTACTACTACTAATTTAATCATTTTAAAGTGATTTTTCTAGTATGGTAATATTTTTGCTACCATTTTAGGAAAACAATTACCGTTCATCCATTGTGAAAACTCACTTCCATTTTAAAGCCCATTTTTAAAGCCCATTGAGGTCTGAATAATTGGAACCACTGAATATTCTATTTGGCAGATTATTTCAGGCATTTACTGCAAGATCTAAATAAAGCACACAAAGTTGAGCAAGCAGTATTGGAATTCTGTAATGAGCATTTTGCATGTGTAAATGGATAAATGAACAATCATGAATTTAAAAATATTGCGGAAATTTTACGTTTTAAGTACCAGTGAGTGCTTTGAGATCTACTGATGAAAAGCACTTTAGAAGTAGGCATGGCAGAATTCGATTTTTATTTTGTTGCAATTTTGATGATTGATGTTGATTTTTATTTAAAAATTTCCCCTGATTTTTAACAATTTTAATTTTCACAGTTGCAGGAAATTAAGGGTGGGAGTTAGGGCAGTGGTGGCATCAGAACTGCAGGGAGTTTCCAGCAGGGGTTGCAGAGGGCTCCCTGCACTGCAACACCCTTCAGGCACAAAGTGCAGGGAAGGCTGCAGTCCTGGCTGGGCAGAGCAAATGCCCCTGGCCAGGACTGCCAGGAGGACAAACTCCTAGACACCGGGGAGACCATTCAGCAGCCGGGTGACCTCCCCTGCAACCATCCTCCTCCTCACAGCCCTGGTGGGGATCTCTGCCCTGCCCTGCCAGGACCATAGCTTCCCCTGCAACTTGGACTTGCAGTGATTCAGCATCATCAGCCCTGTGGCTGTGCAGGGAACCCTCTGCAGCTCTGCTGTCACAGCCCTGCTCAGTTGCTCCCATGACAGTGGGGCTTCAGAGGGCTTTCTGTGCTACTGCAGGGCTAGTGCTGCCCAATCCCCTGGAGGCGCAAGGTGCGTAGAGGGGAAGGGTGGTGGCTGCACTTGTGATGACTCTTGCTGATGGATATGTTCTTGTCCATTTCAGTGTATCAGCTGAAATTGACATTTGCTGACATATATCAATTTAAACGGAATCCTGCCAAGCCCATGTATAAGAACTAAGCATTCGTAGTAGTACTAGTTTATTTTTAATGGTTTCTTGAGACAGGATAGTATATAGCAGCTTCAAAAATTTTCCTTTCATTGCAAAAACAGGAAACTCTGACTAGAACCGTTACTTAATCTTTATTGGGTAATTAAGAATTTTAGGTGAAGAAAAATAGTAATTTTAATATAATGAATTAGACTTGATTTTGTAGAATTGTAGAAATTCCTATCCTTTAGAGGGATGCAAATGCAATTCATATGGCAAATCTTCATGTCTGTCAGTTCCTTTAATAAATGGATTTTTTTCTGCTTTTAGTCAGCAGATAAACAGCGAGCCTTAGAAGAAACCAAAGCCTACACAACCCAGTCCTTAGCAAGTGTAGCTTATCTGATCAACACTTTGGCCAACAATGTTCTCCAAATGCTGGATATCCAGGCATCCCAGCTTCGGCGCATGGAATCTTCAATCAACCATATTTCACAAGTGAGACAGTTTTTACTTATATCATCCCGTATGTGTTACTGAAATCGTACAGGAGATAATACAATAAGGGTTTGGTTTATCTGATGTTATGCTGCATAGTGTGGATAAGAAAAGACAGTTGGCATTAAAACAGCAGGGCATCCTACTGCACCTGACTCACATGTTTGACTTAGATAAACATTAATAATACATTAATATAATAATTATCAGATTTTTTTGTCTTTATACATTTTGTTTAATTTTTTATCTTAAGAAATTTATATAGAATAGCCTATTAGATGGATCATTGGACTGTCCCAGCGTGGCTGTCTGTCAGTGGTGTCTAGTCCATATTTCAGATGAAGGCAAACAATCCCATAAGGCATCTGGCAAAATGGATAATGCTATGCCTTGAGACACATCTCTCCAGCCCCTATTTGGTAATTAATTTACAGATACCCTGAAGCATGAGATTTGATAGTCCCTGTAATTTACATTTAGCTAGTGTAAATACAGATGCTGTTTTTTCTGTTCTGTGTTGAATCTTGTTGTTTGTAACAGTAGTTTCTACCTGTTAATGAGTAAAGTAGCATTTCCTGTTGTCCATTTTAAACTTACTGTGTTTTAATTTAGTTTTCTCTTGACATTTATTATGGCACATGGTAAATTCAAATAATTATACAATTGAGCTATAAAGTAAAATGTAAAACCAGGTATTTGAAAATAATTGATTTACTTATTTACAAAATGAAGTACAGGAGTTGATGCTGAAAAGCACTCAGAGTAGAGTATTTTCCTGTGAAATGTGCACAGCTCTAGGTTCCTGTTAGTATCCTCTCTTTCAGGTTTCCCTTTTCCTCCTGCAAGTCTACAAGTGCTTGGCATTTTAGTGTTGTTTACAAAGGCAATTCAGGTCAACACTTAGTGTTGCGGATGATAGAAAGATCATATAACTTTCTGTGGGGGAGAGGAATCTTGAGATCTGCCTGCTTTTCCAGAAGTGTTGCCAAAGTAAGATCTTGCTTGGTCAAGACATCAGTTATATATTTATTTACATATAATTCAAATGACATGAAATAAAGTGTTTCTTCTGGTTTCGAAACATGTGAAAGTAAAGTTGGACTCATATGTGACATAGACCTTGTGGTTAAGCAGGACTTGAGAAAGCCACTAGATTGTGAAGCTTTCCCAGGTTGAGTATCATCAACTTCTAGAGGCTCTCAACTTTTATTTTAAAAAATCCTGTGTTTAGCCCTTGTGCTTATGAAGATTATCTCACAAACATGCATCACTTTCCCCCTCTGCCCAACAAAGTCTTAAATCTGCAAGTAGCTTGTCACTGCTTGTAGCTTTGTTGGCAGCAGAATAAAACCTGCTGCTATTCAGAACCAGTGGGCTATAGTGAAACTGACAAAAATGCTGCTTCTGCCTTCCAGCCACTAGAATGGGTTGAGTCCATGCTACAGGTTTATCAGAGACCTACTGGCTTTTGACTAATAGAAAAGGATGTGAAACCATTTGAGCAGGATATTGGGACAACACCCTGGCAGGATTTCCAGCATCCTTGCTTTCCCAGTAGCTGGGGGAGGAGTGGTTGGCTTCTCACCTAAGCATTTCTGCTGGACAATGGTGGGCACTATATTTTGTATCAATTATTGACCAATAGTCATAGTTCTCAGGCTGTTAGGACTTTGATAAATTTCCTGTCTTGGATGTGATGGGATTGCGTGAAGGAGAGATTGATTCAAGTTAAAATAGGTTAGTGTGGTATTCAGAGAGATTATTTGACAGGAGGAAGAGTGGGAGAAGAAAGGAAACAAAGTAGAGATAGGGAGATCGATAGGAGAGAAGAGGGGATGGATGGCGAGAAGTTAAAATGGAAGCGGACACTGAAGACAGAACAAGAAAAAATGAGCCATTGTCTATTATAGGAAAGAAAAGAGAGGAGTGAAACCAGGGAGGGAAAGAAAGTAACAAAGGTGAGACATAGTAGGTTCCACTTTCTTAAATGTACTAAACAGAAAGTAGTTAGATAAGTTGTCATTAAATAGTATGCAGAGAACAGTGCTTTAAATTGCAAGGGGTATGGCAGCCAGGTATTTTTCACCCCAGGTAGCAGGTTTAGTCTTCGGTCTAGTAGGTGACAAATCTTGCAAGTCCTGTGGTTAAGAGTGAAGCTAAAAGCTGGAAAGTCTGGGTTCCATTTCTTCTATCACAGGCTTCCTGTGATCTTGGCCCAGTCACTTAATTTGTGATAGTTTCCAAATTTGTAAAAATAAATATATTCGTTAATATTTGTGAAGAGCTTTAAGATCCTTATACAGCAGGCATTATAGAAGTGGAAAGTATTATTTTGTCCAGGCAGATCAGTTTTGTATGCTGCATATGTGAAAAGCTTGTTATATTTTTGTTCTGTCATTTATGTAAAGCAGCTTTTTTTAGGAATGCCATCACATTTCCAATTGTCTTTTCTTTCTAAGAATACATGACATTTATACTAATTGAAATGTGAGTTTATTTTGTCGCCACTAGTATAAATGCAAAATGCTTCATTGTTACAAAGAAGTGCAAAATTACCAGTGCCAAAAGGCTAACGGAAATATATTTGCCAACATTTTCAGTGCTGCATTTGTATAACAACACGTAGCTAAAAATATTTTTTTCTGCATTTTTGGTGTCTTTGAATATGTGCTCCTTTTGTTGAGACTGTAGCATTTCATGTGAAGGACATTTTCAGTGCTTTCATGAGAAACAGTTATACCATAGGAGTTTAACTGGGGTTGTTGGCAGCTGTGGTGTGCTGCTGTCAGTCTGAAAGAATATCAGTAGTTCCATCTCTTGAAATGAAAAGAACAGCCTCCCTGCCTCCAACTATTAACGACACAATCATTTTTCATTTGTCTGTCTTGTGTAATCATTTACAATGCAGGAGTGTTTTAAATTCATTTATACAAAGTTCTCTGGAAAGGCACACTTAATACACCTCTACCCTGATACAACGCGACCCGATATAACACGAATTCGGATATAACATGGTAAAGCAGCGCTTCGCGGGAGCGGGGCTGCGCTCTCTGGTGGATCAAAGCAAGTTCAGTATAATGCGGTTTCACTTATAATGCGGTAAGATTTTTTGGCTCCCCAGGACAGCGTTCTATCAGGGTAGAGGTGTATATGCAATGTTAGAATTTCAGCGTTCGAAGATCAATTAATCCCATTGTATGAAAGGTACAGTATTGTCTTTCAAATATAGTTCAACTTCCATATATGCAGAAGACTTCTACAGTGTTTATTGCTTTTCATGTCCAGTGTAAAGATGCCAGTCGTACTGTTTCTAGTGCTAGGTGGAATACGTCATGTGTACAAGAAAGTCAAAGGATTTTAATTGAGGCTGATCTACTTCATCTGCTCTGCTTCAGAATGGGCACAGTTCTACCTCTTCCTTCAATTCATACATGGCTATACTTCAGAGTAGTATGTTGATCACTTCAGACTGATCCTTAAGCCCGGAAAACAGTCTGTAGTACAAAATCTGAGATAAGGATGAGCTAATCTGTCTTTAATCCTAAACAAGGAAGAACTGAATCTCGGATGTCCTGTCATCCAGAATCTATTAGACAAGTGCTCTCCAAATAAATATTTTGAAGAATAAGGCCACCTGGCATTTTTAGTAGGAACACTTTTCAAAATTGCTTGTTTGTTAAAGTGCAGTTCTCTTCTGAAAAGACACTTAATTTTAAAAAGCTGGTATTCTGGAGATACATGCTCATTGTGTTCAACTGATTTAAATGCCAAATTTGATCAATTAACTTACTTTTTTCTAAATGCCAACCTTGCAGACTTAATCTGAGCACTGAGATTAAAGCCGATGAAGTAATTTGGGTATTTCAGGTTATAGGTCCAGTAGTGGGGTGGTTACCTGCTCCGGCCCTGACAGGGCTGAGGCTGTGGGGAAAAGCCCAGGCTGATTAAGGGAGCAGCCGCAGCTGTGGCCAGCTCAATCAGGCCTAGCTGGCCCCTATAAGAGGCTGTGAGCCTGGAACCCAGTCAGTTTCCCTCTGCCTGTAGAGGAAGAAGAACCTGGCTGCAAGGTGCTGAGCAGGAAATCTAGATTGGAGCAGGGCTGGGGAAGGGCCAGAGGAGTTGGGAGCTCTGGCCTGGAAAGCCTCAGGCTGCTGCAGGTCTGACTACTGGCCAAATAGGTGCAGGGTTGCAGAGGGGCAGCCTATGGGTAGGCGGAGGCAGCGGGTCCAAAACCCCCTTGCCTGTGATGAGTGGCATATACATACCCCTGATACAAGGGGCTAAGTGGGGACTGGCAGTAGCCCAGGCTGAGGCTAGGTGGGGTTAGAGGGTGGGGGTTCCCCTGGGTGGGGAGACCCAGAATCTGAGTGTGTGGGAGTACTGCCAGGGGGACAACACCCCAGAAAAAGGGGCACTGGGTCCTGGGAGGGACTCGGGCTGGTGGTAAGGCGGATCACTGGCCCAGAGGGCGCTCCGGTGGCTGGACAAGCTAATTCCTGACGACTACCAGCAGAAAGGCGCCGCCGGGTGAGTCCGAACCCTTTACGGTCCCTAATCAGGAAAGTATCCCTTTCTCATAATTAGGTCACGCTTTTTACTTTGTATAGTGTTTACTAGTAGGCAGAAAGCTTAAACCCTAAATACACGTGTTATATAAACATCAATTTATAATGATAAATATATCTAAATACTACATTTATTTTAGTTGTTCAAGTTCACAAACAGAATACTGATGGCTTCTGAATTCTTGAAACTAATATTGGAACCTGAAAACTTGCCAAAGTGGTTTAAGGGGTGATTTTGTAAAGTTTTGTAATAAATAATTCTTTGAATACAAGGCTAGTTTTTAAATTTCCATCTGTCAACTGTAATGTCATAAATCAAGATACTCCTGTTGTGTTGTCATAAAGAGCTCAAGAAGTAGCAGTAGTTGGGAAGGGCACAGCACTAACAGAGGACCTCACACAAGGTAAATGTTCCTTTCATTGTTTTCTACTGGG